AGATCACACTTGCTCGCAGCGCTCCACCAGCTGCTAAGGCTCTCCGCAATTTCTCCTTATAAGAACGGTCGAAAAGCAAGTGTAGTGGCTTGAACATAGTTTTCCTGAACATAGTTTTTCATGCACATAGTTTTCCTGACATATATTACTATCTCTCTGACTTGTGCAACTAACCGTTGCAGGTAAATTGTTTACCCCATTGATGAGCACTCCTCAAACTTAGGCTTGAGGACTGCATTGCTTGTTACCACTGTGTCATGCCCGGCAGCAAGTTCTGTACATTTTAATTTGTTCGCTAGTTCGGGAAAATGGAGCCAAAAAACGGCGTTTTTTTTTGAAACTTTTATTGCGCAAAATTCTTGAAAATCGTTCGCCGCCTTACTCTATTCGATTGTATCAAAAATTTGATTAGGATGCAAGTGATACCATGATCGATGTTGCTTAATTTGATTTCTTTTTTTTTCGATAATTTATATTAAATTCTGTTCATTTGCAGAAGCCTCCGAAAAGTAGCAGTGCTCCTTCGCCATCAGTTGTACCACGGCCAGAAACACCGTTGTGCCATCCATCGTTGTCCGTTACACTGCTGCCCGTAACAACCGGTTGTTCGGCGATGGTGGGATGTATGGGCACAGCCTATTCACCATTTTCAATAGCAAGTGTACCTCCTTCCCCGCCCCGTGGTCCACTGTTATCGGTGACTGCTCGGCCGTTACCCGTTTTGGCGCCTGCCACATATTCGTCGCTTCTTGCACTACCTCCGAATCCAAATGGCTTGTCGTGCTGCAATTGTGCTGGTCGTCATCCATTTGCTTTTTGCTCGCAGCCAACAATGCTTCAAGTTATTGCTAGTGGTAAGCTTTTTTGGAGCATTTCTGTTCCGCTTTTTCCACTGTCACTAGTTCGTCAATAGACTTGAGCCTTTTGCATTGTCTCTCTTTCTTTCCTTCCTCTTCTTCAGCAGTTTAGTTCACGCATTTCAACAAGTCGTAGTAGGTAGAGGGGGCTGCATTGATGATTCTCACTCCTACCAAGAACAGTTCTGCTGTTTGTGTTTATAGCTAAGCGATGAACTAGAGGCAGAGTGGTTTTTCGGGAAATATGTGGCGCACAATAACTCAGCTGCCTTTAGATGTTCTCAGCCCTGCAATCTCTCTCTTCTTTTCTTCGATTTCCTCCCCCTTTCTACAGTTGCTTCCGCTCAGTCACATCTGTACTTGTAATTTTTGTAGCGTCCATTTTTTTTTTTCTGATGTTCTGACATATTTGGTTTGATGCCAGCCTATGTATTTGAGTTTTGGCTTAGCCTAGGTGAGAGGCCAGTTGACTTGAGGTTTTGTAATTGTAGCTGTTTATTAGTCCCAGCTAGAAGCGACTGTGTAGATGCGGAACAATGTGCAAGGGCTTAGAACAGTTTGACCTCTGGTGCGTGCTGCGCGTCGCTTGAAAGCAAGAACACCACTTCGGCGGTTGGGGGGAGGGGCTGGTTTCAGTGGCTTTTTATGCGTCTTGTGCTGTGTGACAGCGTTACAACACGTATATTGTCACGGGGTTGTATGTGTGTTTGTGTGTGTGTGTGTGTCCCACATTTTGTCCCGCACTTTCAACTCGGGAGCCACAAAAGCTAGGCGGCTGAAATTTTAACATAGTGTTCCTCGTCAGTGGGTGACGCAGCAATTTAAATTCAGCCTTCCCGTACCCGCGGGTAACATGTACGGCCCCGTGAAAGTTTTCGCGGGTAAATTAATATCTCGGGAACCACGGAGTCTAGAAGGCTAAAATTTTAGGATAGTGACCCCCTGCCCACGTACACCCTTGCTTATTCAAATTCAGTGTTCCTGCGCTCTCGAGTACCACC